ATCTTTCTCGATTGCCACAGTTGTGATGATGTCTGTCGTTAGATCCTGTGAGTAGTCCTTGAGACTGAACACTTCGCCACTTGCAGCAGCCTGCTTCAATCGATCAATGAAATCGCGAGTCTTGGAAACAATCAATCCGTCCAACGTATGCAGATGTTGTGGGGAGAAACCCTTGTTGAACCGCCTTCGCAAGACCTTCCACTCCTCTCCTTCGGCAATGATCAGGGATTCCAAGCCAATCAGGCGATACATGGACATCAAGGTATCGCTCTTTGGGAGAGAATATTTGAAGACTGAATTAGGCTGGGTGATTTGCTCCGCGATATCCGGATCTGCGACAATCAGAAAGACCGTGTCGACTGGAAGCAGATCCATCAAGTATGCTGGAGGCCGGCCTAGTGATTCCCAGATTTCTTCAAAGGCATAGTCGGGATGCCTTTTGAGAGCCGGGTTGAGCTTTTCGCCCATATTGACCAAGTGGCCCCATACTGGATGACGGGGCAACTGGGGGATTTCTTTGTAACGACGACGAGCGCTGATTGTGGTCCGGATGATCTGAACGAGTTTGATGGTGAGATAGATGGTGACGAGGGCGCAGAGGAGAAAAGGGAGACGTTTAGTGTCAAGGAGACCAAAGATGGGTTGGACCATGTTGCCGTGAAGTCAATGGGTGAATGTTGATACCGTCCTGTCGTTGTGGCTTACGCCAGGATAGAAATACCCAGACACTGGTGTGAGGTATCAACAAGGCGCCCTTGGGCCCAGCAAACAGCTAAGCCAAGGCAGATCTGGAACGGCGCGGAGGCTGATGTCGTGATATGCCGTTGCTGTGGAGCAGATTGGAAAGGGGAAGTAAAGGAGTCTGAAAGGAATCTGTGGACCAGATCAATGGGATCTCCGAGGAGAGAAGTATCTAAGTAATTAATGCCAGACGGGTGATTGGCGCAGTCTTTCTGCCCCGGTACTGGTACTTGAAACCCACGATCATCATTGATTGGCGCCTAGAAACTGTCTTCAGGGCCCTTAACGCCTGGCCCGTTAGGGACCAGAAGCCTAGAAAAGTATGGTTTACGAGGGTCTGCGTTGTTTCTCTGCGGGTGAGGTAAGGATTCCAATTCAAGATTCTGCCACACACCTACCTAGGTACCTATCTAAACTGGTACCTCACCTACGTGAAACATTAGAGAAAGCCGCCGTGTGCGTCTTTGAGGTTGGTGGCAGACAGCTTCATGAGTGAGCTATTTTAATGTGCATTGCACTGACTAGGGAGCATTTTTGGCTTCCATTATTCCGTCCTGTATACCACCCACAGTAATATCCACTGATATCCTCCGAACATTACAAATCGACCAGAGCTGACGGGTACCAGCGATCCGGCGAGCGGGTAGGGAGAAACTCGTTCTTGACTTGGTTGTCCCTAGATTGACTCAGGACATTCAGGGCTCTGGACAGTCGACGAGTCGAGCACAAGCCGAGGCCTGATGTAATCAACCCCCACCATGTTTCTCCCTACCTATCCACACCATGCAGGGATCTCGTCCCTCCCTCCATGCCATCACTCGCCTTATTCACCACACAGAACGTAACCCTGTGCCCCTCTCGCCCCTCCATCCCTCTCCCCACCCACAAAACCAAAAGATCATATATTTTATCCCGCAAAATCTGCCTCAAAATGTGCTGGTGAGGTGGTATGTGGCAATTTCACCTTATCCTTCAGAATTATAGAACTTGGGAGGCTAACAAATCTCCCTCAGGCCGAGTGGTTATGGCGCAAGTGAGTTGAATCCTGAAGAACCCACCATCACATTAGCGAGGTATAATACTAACCCCGCCAAAAGGTTTCAGGTACACCTGGAGCTCACGCTTCGAAAATGGTACGATCGGAGTACTTGTGGGTTAAATCCCTCGTGGGTTCGAGTCCCACCCTCATCAAACCATATATTTTTTTGGGCTTGGGGAAGGGATTTTTTTTTAAGCTGAGTACATAGGTGAAAGATGACGGCTTCTTATACAAGAGAGAGGAATGATGTAATCTTTTTACATCCTACAAGATGACATGGGCAATCTTCTTATTCAGGTTGAATCCATAATACAACTGCTTGGTATGTTATTTATTATACTATCGCTTCTTCCAACACAGATGCCACTGTCAGCCAGTCACGTTCGTCAACACTATGGTCTTTGTTATCATCAAGTCTGGTGTTCGAATATAAGTGTGGAATTGACAGCAGTGCGGCTGATATCGCTAAAGGTAACAGTAATAGATATGTATCATCATCGTCTGGTATTGACTATGAGATAACCTGCACCAGACCTCACCCGTGCACATACTCGGTGCACACCTTTCCACAAATATACGGACCACGGCACAAAGCCTATCCATAGCTGCAGAACGGTTTAACGCAGGACGTTCTCAGCGTATAACTATCTCTGCTTGTTCGTGTTGCTGGGTGTCGTCTTCGCTCTTGATAAGCTCTTGTTCACGCAAAGCTCCCTCGAACCACTCGTGTCCGTCTGGCTCCAAGTGCGGATCATACACAAATCGTCCAAGGACGGCTTTTGCTTGTTCCCAAGTTGTGATGTGCATCTGGTCCGCGTGCTTGACCAACGTCGTTGTAAACCAAGGTTCCTCTGTGGTCTCGACTTTGACCTTGGGATTGGCGCGGCGCGTCTTGCTGTTTTGGCGTTGCTCAAACAAGGCACCAGCATACAGCATCCACAAATATGCTTCTTGATAGTGGACCACCTCGGCTGGACTGAGCATCTCCATCGCCGTTGCCATGTCACGCGCCAGTCGAGGCATAATGACATAGGAAGCTTCGCGTATATCGGCGCCATCCTCTATCGTCGCTTCGTGCACCCGTTTGCGGCTCTCATAGACCAGCGTGAGAACCATACACGCCTGCGTCAGCCGTTGGCCTTCCGACTGGAAGATGAACTTCTCCTCCATTATATCCACGTATAAATTCATTAGGTTTCCCAGGTCGTGAAAAGTCTTGGTCGCAATCCACGCAAAGATCATGTCGGCCTTGAGCCTGTCTTGAGAAGTTCTGAACGGCAACGGAGACTCGGCGATCCACAAGCAATATCTCAGTCGTACCATGGCTTCACGGTGGTCGGGAATGTCCACGCAGGGATGAGCGTTGTGAATACCAATCGGAGGGATGGGGAGGTAAGGACAAGCAAGTGCCCATAGCCTCGCGTGTGCCTTCGCAGTCCACTCTCCAAAGGGCAAAACCGTCCTCTCCAGCTTCTTGCATGCCAATTCGGTGGCATCAAACATCATGACCAGCGTGTGCTGAACACGCTCCATCTCGTCGGTCAGAGGATCGGGGAGACGCAAAAGAAAATCCACATGGGCCTTGGCTGCCAGCGTATCCCCCGCCATGCACTCCGTCTCGAACAAACAGCGAATGTGTAATCTTAGTGCAGTCAACGACTCGACTGAGGTTTGTCTGTGGTCGGTGAGCCCTTCGCGCAGCAATCTGAGACTTTTGGCGCGCATTTTCAGCCTCGCCGTCGTAAGTTGCTGCATGGTTTGACTCGAATTGAGCCGCACTATGTTAGGGATATGGCCGCACAGCCATGCAAGAGCAGCACCCTCGTTCATGTCTCGGAATCTCTTCATGCTGTGAAGGAAGCTGGATCCTCCAATGACCCTATTAGAATTCTCATAGTTGACCGTCTTGGGCCCTCCCACCGTAAGTCGTCGAAAAAACGGGGGACTGAAGATATTCGGAAGCATGACATCCCTTGCGTATGTGATAATCCGGTTGACTTCGGGTGTGATTTTGACCGGGCACGCATTGAACGGGTCGGATGATCCTTCCAGGAGGAAGACGATTTCGTGATACTTTGGTTGGACTCGATGGCTAGGCCGTTGCCCATAATTGACACGAGATGGATTATGTTCATGTACCTCTTCTTTTTGGAGGAGTTGCTGCTGCAATTTTTCCCATTTTCTTTTCTGATGCGAAATTCGGGCAGCGTGTGCTTTTATCTCAGCTCCCTCGAGCTCTTGTTCCCGAACAGGTCTGTCTCGCTTGGATGGGGGCAAAAACTTGATGTTTGAAGGGAGAGCGAGCAACATACTGGCAGCAGAAACTCAGTCATTGGATCATCAGTTGCTCACAGCACAGAGGGCAGACCTGAACCACGAGGAGGTGGAAGCCAGATGCAAAACAAAGACGAATTCTCATCTATAAGGACGCCCCGCAATTCCAAGGAAAACTCGTCGTATATAAGGCCGCGCACGAGCTGTATGCGGTTCAGCTCAACTTCGGCTGGTCCGTTAGCTAGTGATCTGCCTTGCACAATGGTGTGATGTTGCCGGAGCTTAGCTGAGCTTCCAATAATCCGGTTGGCCCTTGGTTCAGGCGGCTGTGAACTTGCCCGTATACCAAGTGTCGACGAGGGGGTAGTACAGGCACGTCTTTACCGATGGTGAGTCTCATAAGGACAGGGATCGTTAGGCAGCACAATGTATTAAGACCTCTCCGCGAATAGCCACATCACTATCCGTCTTTGTGTCTAGAACCGGAGATTGAACTCTGAGGGACGCGCTGACAAAGATCACATCTAAGCTTCCTATACTGTCTCTGGCTAGTGGACAAGGCTGGTTTAGCCATTGATAGGCTTCCAACAGGGTAATTGCTGCAGGCCAATGCTTCGGCTCTCGGAAGCGCCTATGCAAGGATGTCCCAGAGGCAGGAAACCTTAGGATCGACAGGCTTTCAGTGGAGAACCCCGAAGGTGATAGGGTTAGCATTACCACCTCTGGTCTTCTCTTAACAAGCGGCTCAAATCTTCAAAAAATATGGCCATTGGCACAGATTCTATTTCTCAATAATGCTGGCAGCCATGAGATAAGTTTCGCGCATGATTGGAAAGCTCTATTGGTGGTAGATGCTGAAGGACTACTCCGTCTGGTCGACTTGAAGCAAGACTCTTGTCTGGGGCATGAGACGACTCGACCAGACAGACTAGTTGTATTGTGTCCATCATGACTGTTGACTTGGTGGCATAGTAATCAGCGGCCAGCCCAGTCCTGGGCCGTCAAAGTAATGGTCTGGTGAGTAGTGCATCTGTGAATCACCCCCTCCGCCAACCCCTACCCCAAGACTGTTGTGATGATGATGATGATGCGGCGGAGAGAAATGCATATAAAGATTTCCCGAATCATTAAGCAGGGATGCCAAAGATGTGGGAATGGCCGGCATGGACGCAGACGTGGAGAGTCCAGTAATCGGAGAGGGCGCAAAACTTGTGAATATGGGCGATGTGACACCTGGCCCTTGCTCGGGCGCATGCCCTGCCGTTGGAGGCTGCGGCAGGAAAGAGAATGTGTCAGTCCATTGCCGCTGAGTCTGTTGATGAGCCAAGGGAGAGGTTGGGTGGTTTTGGGGAATTCCTTGAGGCATGAACATTGGTTGCGGAGGATTGCTCCTGTGCATCGTCGCATTTGGGCTGGGATGTTCTTGGAACGGGAGCGCATTTGCCTGCTCGACTTTCACGGTGCCTCCTACGATGGAATGGTTGACTGGGCTTATTGGACTGTGAGAATTATGACCTTTCGGAGGTTGCTCGAGCAAAATCCTTCGGCATTCATCTTCAAGAGCTTGCACTCGAGGCTGAAATTGTCTCTGCAAGTGGTTGCCGGTTCCTATATACAAAGTTAGTGAGACAGACTTGTCAGAGACAGCATAAACTTACTCAGGACAAGGTCTGCATACGCCATCAACGATGTCCAGCCTTTTAGCTCATTCCGCATTGCCTCGAATTGCTCAGCGGTAACCGACCCCTTTTTCCTGTTGTAGACATACAGGGTGATGCCAAATCCAGTCGCATATGCCAGGGTGGAATGCCAAGTGAAGTCCACGCCTTTGTACCTGCTCGACAATCGATGAAGCTTTGCAAGAGACGCTTGGCGGATTTGTGGCAGATGTCCAGATGTCGTTCCATCACCTCAGGATCGTCACTCGTGCAGCATACTGGATGATGTAAGTTCAGCTGATACTCGGCAGCCCAAGTCTCGAATAGTAGGGTCGCGACGCTTAGATTGACATGCTTTGGCTCGTTTTTGGTTGACTCGTCCCAATCCTGCCGCCACGCGACTATTTTCGTGTTGAGCGTTTCTACGGTTTGAAGGTATTCTTCTGCAGGTCTCCTGACGGCTATGATGTTGTTGTGTAACTCGGTGAGAAGGGGAAGTAATTTTGCCAGGTGTAGACAAGGCCAGAACTCGCATTGACCTGACAACTCCGAAGCAAATCCGGTCTTGGATATCTCGGAGTCTTTGATGGGCCTTGGTAAAGGGATGTCGATATGCTGGAATTGCCACGGTGCCGGTAAGCCAACGCGACAACCTGTCGTCACACAGACACCTAGTATTGAATGAAAGACCCTTTTTCGGAGCTCCTTTGACAGTGGATCGTTTTCGCCGTCCGGAAGTCGGATCTTATCCGGGTCACGATGGTATTCCAGTTCGATAGCGCGAACTAGGACTTGGTGGCAATAGGTCCAAGATATACCAGGTTTTGGTAGGTTCCGAAAGTGGACGATGAGCAGCGCCATTGCCTGCATAGATGCAAGAGACCTGTCCTGGAGTAGTTCACGGTAATCACCCAGGGCGCAGTGTAGATAACGATGGGAATCGTCGAATTTCTCAGCGGAATGGAGATGGTTTCTCACCGCCGTCTGATGGGCAATTATGGCGAAGACAATCAGAACCTGGAGCCGCTCGGCAACAGTCAAGGAATCCGGCTGATCATAGAATCTGTTGACGAGGTCCATGAAGCTGGGTCGGTGGACGATCGGAACATACTGTGACATGATGACCAGAAAATGATTGGCATCACGAAGAGCTTCTTCCTTCGGAGGTAGTTTTGGGTCCTCCACACGTTGAAGTCCACACATGGTATTGATGATTGACGTCCTCGAGAGGTTGAATTTGCCCGTAATCTCAGTGGCATAGTCTTCCATCATTTCACATTCCCAGTCTGCGATGTCGACGACACCATCCATAATGTCCACCACAGTACCCTTGACCGGACCAGAATACAGAGCCTCGGAGTGATCCGGCGCAGGCCAGCCAATGTATTTCGCATCAAGTCTGGATGACGTAGGCGATACAGAATGCGCTGTGGATTGAGAGATTGAACTCCTGGGAGTGACAATAGGCGCGATGCCACTGGAGTCAGACCGCTGCAGGGAGCCATATCTGCGCTGGTAGGCGGCAAGCTGTTCCCTCAAAAATAGCAGCTCATTCTCGGCGCGATGCGATTCTCCTCTTTCTCGTGCTTGCCCCGTGACACGATCAGTGGTGTAGCACCGCAAACCCTTCTGACGACAAGGCTGACATGCCACTGGGTCTGTGTCACATTTCATCTTCCTCTCTTTACACCGGTCGCAGGCCTGCCCTGTTCGAGACGTCGACGCCAACTTTTTACGGACCGCATCGCTGTATTGCGCAGGCTCTTCGGGGAGTGTCTTGAGTCTCTTCGACGGGGGGCCATGGTCATCGAAGGCAGAAGGATTCGGTCTCTTTGGGGTCGCAATGTCCATTGTGGAACACGTCTTGCGGAGCGCGTGAGGGATACGTAGTGGCGAGTGTGAGGGTCAATGGAAAAATGCGCCAGGAATTTTTTCGAAAGCATAGGACTAGTGGCAAGTACCGGGGTACATGTTCCATAAAGGGGGAGAGGTTTGTCCTGACAGTAGGTAAGACGGTGAGCCGCAATCGCAAAGTCCCAGATGACAAGACGGCTGAGGCAAGATATAAAATGGATCTGGCACAAGGTCGAGGTATAGCAAGACTCGCTGTATCCGGAATAGCATTTCATCGATAATAATTGAGAACGCAATTGATCGTAAAGGGACCTGAGGGACCCAGGTAGGGTACGGGGGGGAAGCCATCCGGGCCAACAGAAGCATTCTTAGAGGGCACAGTGACGTACACTAGACCCCCCAAAGGCAACTCTTGCCCTACGGGATTGGCGGGCTTTAGGCATGAACCTTAGTGTATGGGTGGGTGGTTGGGTGGTTGGAATACTGGCTGCCCACCTGCCCCAGCTGCCCCTCGATAGCCGAGACCAATGCTTGTGGCAGCCCACCATGCCCACTTGCTCGGAAGGCTGGGAATACCCTTGAAAGCCCCAAAATCCTCTTTCGGTAGAATCCCACCTGGTGCCATTGGTGCCTTGGTACCGTCTTCGTTCAAGTCAGCAGTGCGAAATGCACGATTAACCATCACAAAAGCTGAGACTCTTTTTTGATCAAGATCCTCGTACCGAGTACTCGTCCCTGCGCCCTGCGCCGACCCTAGTCCTCCCCACGTGACGCGCGATAGCCAAGCAATTATCGTGCTTGGCATTGACCAACTATTCAACTGTGATGGACTTTTCTCCCTCACCTTATGTTTCTCTGTGCGCATGATGTCCTCCTCACACCACCCCCTCTCTCAATACCGGAGAATTCCTCGCGGCATATCCCGCCCTTTGATCCGTCTCGACGGTCGAGAGCAGACTATGGGACTCCATTCTCATAGTCCAGAAGTCTACGAATCCTCTTTGTTCGTGGAAGACTGCAAAGGGGATCGGCAAAACTTGACTTATGGGTCATTGGATCGGCATGCCATTCCGCGCTATCGACCAGCCGGTCAAGGTGGCTTACTCGGGTTGGGTCCGAACTATCGAATAGTTTCACGTTCAGATACACGCCTCGATGTGGAAAATATCGATATTGATTCCACACGAAGGTCCCGCAGACAGTCTCTACTCGAGGACCTTCCCGAAGATGATGCGGCGGAGAACGTTCCATCCGGAGTGAGCAGCGAATCAGATCTACGCAAGGACTTTCTGAGCTTCGATAGTGGGCATCCAAGGAAGAGGAGACGGATGTGGGCGGAACTGGAACATGTCCCTTTGCAAGAGGATGAGAGCAGTGAGTCAGACCTAGACAGTGAAGCACCTTCACCCTCCAAGGACGCTTTCGAGGAGTTCAAGAGGGATCCTGCCCGTCAGCGCCATATCGAACTCTTGAGAGCCACGGAAACTCGACCCGAGGACGTGTCGGCATGGCTTGCTTTGATCGAGTATCAGCCCGTTCTATTTGGCGATGCGCACAGTTCCCGCAGCTATGCCACTCCCTCCTCAAGAACGGTGGTCGATCTCAAAATATCGCTTTACGAGCAAGCATTGTCACGCGTCAAAGGCCGCGAAGGTCGGGATACTCTGATCCTGGGTCTCATGCAGGAAGGGAAGGCCATTTGGGATGCAGATAAACAGGCGTCTAGGTGGCGAACCTTCCTCGGTGACGAGGCCTCGTTTGACCTATGGCGGCTTTATCTGAACTTTGTCCAGACAAACTCCGTCAAATTCAGTTTTGAGACCTGTTTGAGCATTTACAAGCAATGCCTTCAAAAAGCAGGAAACGAGTCATCTGACTCGAGAGACGCTAGTTCCATATACGTCCTTCTCCGCCTGACCTTGTTTCTGTGGCACTCTGGGTTTACGGAACGCGCGGTCGGGATTTGGCAGGCCCTCCTCGAATTCAATTACTTTCGTCCCCATATTAGCCCTTCCACTGAACTCATACCATCCTTTGAGGGATTCTGGGCAAGCGAGGTTGCGCGAATAGGGGAAGAAGGTTCTGCGGGGTGGCGGTCGAATGCAAACGGTGAGGTTGAGGCGAGAAGCGACAAGGATTTCCAGGTGCGGGACATGGGTTTTGAGGCCTGGGCAACTGCCGAAACTGAGCTTGAAAGAACCGCAGGGCTGCCTGCAAGAGCTCTAGACGAGGTCAACGATGATGATCCTTATCGCGTTCTCCTCTTTTCGGATATCAAAGACTTCCTCTTCTCCCCGACCACCGTGAAAGGCTCGTGGCTTCTGCGAGATGCATTCTTCCTGTTCAGTGGCCTTTCGCCACTATCGTCACTGCCAGAGTCCAGAGTCTGGGAACGGGACCCTTTCATTCATAGCCACTTACCTCTCCCCGGCATCTCTGTGGAATCTGACAGCCCTGCAAACAGCAGCTTTGGGTTCCAGTTGCGCTTCCAAGAAGTCTTCCTGGCGTCTCAGCAAGTGAACTCCCGGACACACGGCGTTTCACTTTCTAGCCCTGCAAGACTTGTCGATTCGTCTTTCAGCTTTGTTCGCCGAGCCATATCTCAGCTTACGGAACTGGCAGTTGACGAAGAATCGAGTGATCTGCATATGGAATATGCGATTGCATTAGAGGCTGGAGTAGACTTGAAATCCGCCAAGAAACAGACGAGGACATTTCTCAAGCGCAAGGCTGACAGTCTCAAACTGTACAATATATATGCGCTACTCGAGTGCCGGCTGGACAATTTTGAAGGTGCTGAAAAGGTTTGGTCAACCGCGTTGTCGATGCGACATTCACTCGGCCCAAAAGAACAGCTTGACTCATTCCTTCTGTGGCGTGACTGGGCATACTCGTACATGCGCCGAAGACAATTTCAGAGGGCTAGGGCCCTTTTAAATCGCATAACAGAGGCACAGGTTGACTTGGCTCAGCTCCGAACAGAAAGCGAGGAGACTACTGAACCGTCTACTACAGTGCGGATAAAGGTCGACCATTACATCAAAACGCATATCGAGCAGAGTCGCTCCCAGAATCGAGCTGAGCAATTGCCGACACTAATCGACGTTCTAACATTGCATAGGTATCTCAATGCTGATCTGTCTCTTGACATAGCCCTACAGACATACCATGCATCTTTAATCTCTTTCACTGGCTCATCGACAATATCTTCTGCCGTGCTTGAAGCCATTCACGAGCAGCGGGCTCGCTTCATTTACGCCCATTCTGTGACCTTTGGAAGGAGCTTCAAACCGCGAGGACTCGTGCCCATTCTCAAAGACTCAACAGAAATGTTTCCCGACAACCTCAACCTCTTGCTTCTCCATCATTATTTCCTTCAGAAGGCCGGATTGTTTGAGCGGTTGCGGCAGCTCGACCCCAAAGAAGAGGGGCCCAACGATGTACAAACCGGAAAAAGTATCGTTCGATGCGTGCTTGAGTTGATGCTGGAGCTCAACAGACCATCGTACAGCGGAAGCACTGATCATAGCATTCGCTCAGCTTTCAAACGAGTGACGCAACCCGGGTCTCCTGGGCATGACAGTGTGGAAATATGGTACACGTATGTTCAGTGGGAAACCTCACTAATTGGAATCCATGGTCATTCAAACCTAGGGAGAAAAACATCAAAGAGACCCGAAGAGAAAGCCCACATATCTGCAGCAATGGCCACGCAATCCTTTTATGCATCGCTACGAGCATGTCCGTGGTCGAAAGGACTATGCATGCTGGGATTTACACTTCCAATATTGAGAGACGCGATTGGAGACGCGAGACTTAGACAGGTGTATCAAACCATGCTAGACCGAGGTATGCGGGTGCGCCTTGACATTTCAGATACGTTGCCGTAGTCTTTGCACTTGTATATGTATGGTACATGGAGATAGAGCCTCGTCTGCAGGGCGCGAGGCTGAAGATCTTAAATTTGCTTGGCACGATTCTTATCCCCGCAATGTCCGGGTGTCTCCAAAACTTTTTTTTTGGTTTGTCGCATGCCACCACTTGATTGATAGTGAAGATTTCAACGACCAAGCTGCGACAACTGTGAGGGGATCCTTGAAGCTGGCTGCTCTGAATTCTCGCCCATGGAAACAACTCTGAATCCCTCTGCCCTCCTTGTACGACAGCCGCAATGACCTCCACCTTCACCGCGCAGCTGCGCACTATCGCCGCAAATTCTACGAGCGAACTCGATCTGCGCGCCCGACGAGGTGCACACGCCGAATCCCTCATTTTCGAACGCAGTGTCGCCGTCAAGCAAGATTGGGAGACAATATATCACGTATGTGTGGAAGGCTTTCGAGAGCTGTGTTTACTGGATACAAGACTGCATGAATTCGAACAAAACCTCTACAGCCCTCAGTCCAAAACGCAGGACCGAGAGCTGCTGAACAAGACACAAAATGAAGCGTTGGGGCTCGTGATAGATCGATGCCTTATTCTCCTTGGATCCAAGGTGTTGCTCCGACCCGGCCTGAAAGCAGTGGAGTGGCTCGTGCGAAGATTTCGGGTTCATGTCTACAATACGGATGTGTTACTGGCCACATTTTTACCGTACCACGAAACACCTTTGTTCGAGAATATTTTGAGAATCATCCCATCAAACAGATTTGTCAGTGGGTGGAAATTCCTGGCGCCCTACCATAAAGAAGCTGCCAGTGTTCCTCGACGTGTGGTCATATACAGCGCCACTCACAACGACGCCTTTTTCTCCCTTTTCAACGATTACGTCCTGCATGCATGCCAGGAAGGTGTAGCCCACTCGTCACTACTACGCTTTTGGGGCAGCGTCGTTGTCGAGGCGGTAACTGGAAGACTGAGCCAGGTCAGGAATGGAAGAAAAGAAGTGCAGAAACAGCGGACAGAGGATATGCTGTTGAAGATTTTACCACTGCTCAGTGAAGGGTTTGAAATCAAAGACTGTCCAGAATTTACAGTCACATGTTTCACCATTGTTCTCGTGCTAGCAGGCGGTGCGAATCTCGGGGACCAGGTCATCGACTCTTTGATGATGTCGATTGCCCCCTTTATTGCCGAAGAGACATCCGACTCTAGGTCGGCTTTGGCATGTTTGGCTATTCTGGTCACCAAAAAGACCGACATGAGAGTTCCCAGAAATGTGCTTGACATATTCATCAACACCGACGACATAGGGCGACGACTGTCTGATCTACTCAAAGTGGTGCCCTTGGCGTCCTTGTTCGAGGCTCTGATCAGCTCTGCGACGTTCGGGTTGAAGCCCAAGAATATCGACAAACGAATGCGCATTGTCGAATGCATATTTGACGTCGCTGAGGACCACTGCGCATCGGCAACAAAAAGTCGGCTCCTTGCACCGCTGCTTCGAAAGTTTTTCTCAACAGATTACACCCTTTCCGCAGAATCGACAAGGTTGATGCATTTGCTTCAGACGCTGGCTGGCTCTTCAAAATTCTCGCCGTCATTCTCTCATGCGATGTCTTTGGCTGGCTGTACCCAGGCGGAGGTGGAAGGTCTTCTCCAGCAAACAATTGAAATCTCTCGGCAACCACTCCTTGAAAACACACCTATGGAACTTGACAATCTCGAAGATGAATCATTACAGGATTCGGAGCAAGCTGAAGCCATGCTTGTATCCCTTCCCCCTGAGACTATCGAGTCGTCGTTCCTCGCTTCTGGGAATAATCGCTCTCCTCTGTTTGACCAGCTTACTCGAACATTCGCGCTATGTCACAAGAATAGTCAGCTTTTGGAACGATTTGAGCAACTTCCGCTCTGGAACAAGCACGAAGGGAAGCCCACCAATCTACATTTTACCTTCCTATTGAGAGTGGCACTGGGCGCCTTTGCCACCCCTCAACGCAATGCTGCGCTTCGGCTTCTCTCGGGAATTATCAAAGCGGAATCACTGGGGCCTTTACAAGCTCTGATTCCCTACATTACCGTGCTTCTTTCTGACAACAGCCAACTTGTGCGACGAGCAGCCGTCGGTTGTATGGCAGCTGTTCAAGAGGCAGCTTCAAAGGAAGGGAACGGTGAGCAAATCACCGCCCAAACGGTGTACGATGACCTTGGCATGCGGAACGTCAAACCCCTGCAATCTGCGCAAGCAGTAAAGATCCTGGGCCAAGTCTACTTGCCTTATCTCGAAGAATTCGTCCTGGATCCTACTTACATACGGAGAATTCTTCAGACAACCTTTACTGGGAATGACCGAACGCCCTCGTCCAAAGCTGCTGATATTGAACTCAAAAAGAGCACGAAGCAAGCGCTCTATGATTTGTTGGCCGGCTGTGCTCTGGAATGTTCTTTGCTGCGAGTCAAGATCGGCATTCTCGAGCTGCTGGTCGACGTCCACAAAGTGGGTAGCTTAAGCACCAGCAAGATTCTGTCGCCTATCCTCGAAACCTGGGCATCGCTGAATCAAGAAGAAGCCGAAAATGCCGCGTCATCAGAGAGTCTTTCTTTGGACCAAATAGATGCTGTGGTGGTTCGACTCGTGAATGCACGAGACAAGGACGCCGTGGAGCACATTCTCTCAATGCTTATCGAAGATAGACTCCAGCCGCGTGCTGCTCTGGTCAATGCGTTTTTTGACAGAATTACTGCCATCTGGAAGGATATGCATCATGAATCACAAATCTCTGCTGCCCTACGCCTATTTGATATGTCCTTCTCCAAAAACTCGGCCCAAGCTGCTGGAAGTCGTCATGTTTTGCACGCAATCAACCTTTCTACGGAGATTCTTGCTGCAATCCTAGACCGCTCATTTTCTGGCCTTGCAGAGATGCAAACAGATGTCCCGCCCAGGAAAAGACGTCGTGTCAGTCATGGGCGTGAAAGCATACCGAAGGATCTGGCATTCGAACTGGATATCAGTGAGGCGAGATTGACTCTTGCGCTGGAGCTTGTGGAAGATTCCAAACCACAAGGACATCCACAACTGCTCGGAGGCTTGTTTGAGGTATTGATAATCCTCAGACGACTCAAGGACAAGGGCACATCTGAATCTCCATACCTTCTCAACCTTTGTCTCAGCAGCATATTGGCAATCATCGACAACGCACGAAAGTCTCCAAGGTCAACCATCGACTTCTCTATTGTTCGTACCGACTTGGTCACGGACTGTGTTCGATCGTCAGAAAACCCACAGGTCCAGAGCACTGCTCTCCTTCTCTCGGCCGCCCTGGCTTCTTTGGCTCCAGATCGGATATTGCATAGCATTATGCCCATCTTCACATTCATGGGTAAAAGCATACTGTCAAAGGATGATGAGCGCTCAATCTACGTTACCAATCGAACCATTGACGAAATAATCCCTCCTTTGGTTGCCACTTTGAAAAAGCAGGATGCCAAAAAGCTCGTTCATTCGACTTCAAGCCTGCTTTCCAGCCTCGTCACAGCGTACGACCACGTCCCTCAATACCGAAGGGCCGCATTCTACCAGCGGCTTCTCAGCAGGCTTGGTGCCGATGACTTTGCGTTTGCGGTCATAGCTCTTCTCGCATCGAGGCGACATGCGGAAGATATGTCCTCGTTCTTTGCAAGCTTGATGGCAGACCTTTCGGCATCAACTCAGCTGTTGACCTTTAGAAAGCTTGTCGAGTTGAGTGTTGATATTTTCTCCGAGGATCCTCACGATGCCGTTCCCTTGCTAGACATCAGCAGAACGAGCTCGGATGAGAAGAAGGAGCAAGAAGCGTTAACCTTACTAGAAGTGGCTTCGAAACTCCTCCAGTCCAAGACCCTCAAAGCGCAGGTAAAGAGACTTTCAAAATCTGACGAAGCCGGAAATGAAACCTTCTGGGTTGAGTTCGGTGTCTGTATGACGCGCGTCCTTAGTATGCTCAAATCCCAGAAGTCCAGCCATGGCAGTCTGACCCCATCGACGAGGAAGTGTTTGAGCTCGCTCCTTGAACTACCTTCCCTCGCCGACCTTCTCAAGATCATGCCCAATCTACTACAGGATATGGCACAATCCGGAGAAGGTCAGCAGGAGCTCCAGCCTCTGGCGCTTAGAGTTCTTGCGACACAGCTCCAACATACTGCTCCGAGTTCAAGGGACACCAAGACGCAAACGCAAGCCATTGCATTTCTCCCAACTCTACAGCACATTATCCGCAGCACGGACGATGAGGCACTCAGGCATGCAGCGATTGCGTGTGTTGATCGCATAACTGAGGCATACGGACGCAAGAACCCAGAAGAGGTCATCAGCGCCTCTACCGCCCTGATTGAAAGCGAATTCGGCCTAGATTCCCACAATGAAAGGACAAGGATCATGTCTCTACTCTGTCTTGCCAGCACGACGGAGGTGCTTAAGGAAGGAAGTGTCCCGATAGTGGTACAAGCCCTCCCTAAAGTCTTGCGTCTGTTGGAGTCGTTCTTAACTCGGCAAGGTGAAAGCAACACCAGCGAAGGCCGAGCGGAACTGCACGACGCTTGCTTCACGTTGCTTTCTTCGTTCATCACGCACACTCCTTTTATCATCAGTGACGAAAGCATTACTGAGATCATCAGTCTATCCTATCGCTCGTGCCTCGCAGAGCCGGACGAGGTGTCACGCAAGGAGGCTCGACTTGAGACGCTGAGCCTCATGGCACAGCGATTGGACTTGAAGACGCTCGTTAGCAGCTTGAGTCAGGCTTGGAAACTGGCGGTGGCATCCGGCGAGAAGGTCGATGGAGAAGCGATCACTGAATTCCTTGACATGCTTTCTCAAGCAATTGAGCGCAATTCGAAATCTGCCGTCGTGGGTGCTGCCGATGAGATATCGGCTTTCATACTGGACGTCCTGGATCTGCGACGGCTCATCCAAGAGAGGGACAGTGCTGACCAACAAGCCCATGCCGAAACTGTCGCCTTGTCGGACATTGAGGACGTGGAAAGGAGACTTCACGAGTTGGGCATCGTGTTCATTTACAAACTCAACGACACTACTTTCCGGCCCATCTTTGAGGGATGGGTTGATTGGGCGACCCGAAAGAATTCGGGGACTTCCACTTCTGCCGAAGGCAACTTGCAGGAGGATATGGCACGGCTGGCCAGACAAGCAAGCTTCTACCTCTTTGCCACGCATTTCTTCGCGACCCTGAAGAGCATCGTGACGAGCTACGCGAGCTACCTCCTCCCATCCATGAACGATGTCTTGCAGTCGGCCATCGACGGTGCCTCCTTGCCGGTGCGTGGAACGAAGTTGAACACCCCAGACCAAAATTCTGAGACGAAACCCTCCCTGCACATTGACCTGTCAGAAGACAGTAGCCTGCAACTGTACAAGTCGACCATAACGCTATTGACGACAGTCGCGACCCACGACGCAGATGGATTCTTTACTTCGCCCTCACATTTCCAACCTCTGGTCAATCTTCTCATTGGGCAATTGGGCCTTACCTCGTCTCCCAAATCCCGATCCAAATCCACACCTGGGGGCAACACTGAGCCCAAGAGCAAGGGCAAAGCCAAGTCGTCCTCGTCTTTGCGGGGCATGATCTTCGACACGGTGATCCCATGCATCGTGGCCCTCGCGACCGCCGTGCAAGACGTGCCTCCGCACCACCACGTCCTGAACCACCTGCTCTGCCAGCTCCGGCGCAGCCCCTCGGCGGCCGTGCGCCTCGCCAGCATCCGCACGCACATGACGCTGACCGAGTCTTCGGAGGTCGGCGACGAGTGGCTCCAGAACGTCGTGCTGGGCCAGTCGAGCACCGCCGCGACCGAGGGTGGTGGTGGTGGAGTCGCGGTTGGCGGCGCCGGCGAGACCATGGTTTACGTCAACGAGATGCTCGAGGACGACGACGAGGAGGTCGAGGGCGCTGTGAGGGATTGGGTCAGGACCGTCAGGGAACGCGTCGGCGAGGACGTTTTTGAATTTTAACTTGGCTACCACCAACCAACCTATTTACCTACCTACCTACCTCCCTACATAGATCACTACTCTATATATCATTTTTTCTCCCCACAGACCTCTCTGGGGGATTGCTCCACGATATGCTCTTGACAGGGAGGGATAGGGATAGGGATAGAGGCAACTAATTAATTTATCAGAAGGTGTTGAAAAGAGAAAATATTCGTCTCCTCTGTGCTTCTGCGTCTATCTGTCGCTGTGTCTGTGTCCGTGTCTGTAGCATCTAATATCCGTCAAAAAGCCACTATCTGTTCAGCCCTAGCCTACCCTACCCTACCCTGTCCTGTCGTGACTTGACCCAGCTCATTGCCCATTCCCGAGCACACACGTTGAAGAAACAAACCACAACTCCCCGACCCGAGCTGCCTCTCTCTTGTTTTCCTTGAAAAAAGACATCACAGTGTCGAAGAGCAAATAGAATCTGGACGATGAGACATTGCCAAGTCTCACAAAAGAGATGGTCTAGAGACTAAGTTGGAGAAAGAAAGAGTAAAAAAAAGTTTGTCAGACATGAGAACCCTCACTTCGAGTGTCTCTCCTCCTGCACGTGCTGACAGGCCCACGTCAAGTCAACCAGCGTTCCACGGATCCAACGAGGAGAAAAAACTGCTGTTCCCGCTCAGCTCAGATATAAAACATGTGTCGCGCAATGTCCGGATGCAGTTGGAGGCAGTCCTCGAACTGGCCCAGTTCGCTCTCGTCAAACGGCCGGATCGGCTGATCCTGGTCGTGGTCTCGTGGCGGGTTGTAGAATTGGCGCACGAAACACCGCGCGCGGTCGGCGACCAGGTCGGCGTAGTAGACGGGAGTGCATGGTCCGACGGAAGTCCGTGAGCGGCCGAAGAGATAGCAGAGATGGTATGTCTGGTCCAGTATCAGCGGGTTAGCGGCGGTCACGACGCAGAGACAGTAGGGGAGCAGAGGGAAGGGTATAGTCAAAGAGGGATGTGAGTTTAGAATACAGGGACAAATCAAAAACTCACCATCCTGGCGATATCCTGCATGTCGTAGTTGCGCGGATTCTGCAACACATTGTAATGCACCGGGATGGCCGTGCCCTGGATGGCCTTTTGCCCGACCAAGAAAAAGTCGTTGCCCTGTCCGTACGTGATCCGCTCCATCACCACACAGCCCGGGACGGGGTTGTTGTTGACGCTGCCGTTCTTCTGCTGCTGGTCCAGCACGAGACTCCGGTCTTGCGAGCCAGCGTCGGGGTTCGGGAAGAGACGAGTGTGGTGGCGTTTGATGGCACAGATGAGGGTGACTTTGGGCAGGAGCTCGACAGGCAGGCCCTTTTGTTGGAAAAGCTGGCTCAAGGCGGCCCCGATCTTCTCGTACTCGTAGTCCTTGCACATTGCGAACTGCGACTCGGACACGCCGTCCCGGTACACGATAATCTGGTCTGGAATGCCGCTGTCCTTGGACCCTTTGGAGCGTGGATCGTGGTTACGGTTGTAATAGTCCAGAAGTCGCTCGTACACGGCCTGGTCCAGATTCAGTATCTTCTCGTTGGCCTCTTTCTCTTCGTCGTCTCTCGTGGAACATGGGTTCGCCAACAAACTCGCCGGCCATTGCGAGAATTCTGCATTGACGCTGCCGACCACGGCCGCAACGCTGGGGCAGTGCTTCCTTGGTCCGCCCCCGTGTGCCACGTCGATGCCGATGATCATCGTCTTGGGTGTCAGAATCTTTGGGTTACCGCGTAAGGCTTGATTGACGGCCGCCTCATCCACTTTCAAGTTGATTTTCATGCACAAATTCGCCAAAAAGTCGTGGTTGACCCTACCCTGTGGATCGCCAGGACGTAGAATGCTTTTGGGCCAGAGTGCCTTGCCGCCAGACTGGAGCACATGGCAGACGGTAGCGATGCCAACCTTCTGGTCGCCCGCTCGTTTGATAGCACTGTAGAGTTCCAGATCATGGACAGGGATAAGCAGGACCACCAGCTGGACACCGTTCGCCTTGAGATCCTTGAGCAGTTTTGTGATGGCGGTGGATTGCTTCTGGAAACTTGAGACTGTCTTCTGCTTCGGAAACAAGTCATTGTCGGCGTACTGTTGTGCACCCATGTTATTGGGGTTGAACTGCCACCATTCAAATCTCTGCATGCCATATTGCCGCAACGCATGGGTCAGATGGTCCACGAAATGAGTGATCCCTTGCGTTGAGCATTTCAACGGCCTTCCCTCCGCCGTGAGCTCGACGCATGACCACTTCTTCCCAGAAGCTGGCCTCACAAAAGCGGCACCTTGGATATTCCACTGACCAGCGTGAATGAGCGCTCCGTCTATGTATTTCGCTTGAGCCGAGTTTTCTGAAGTTTTGTACATAAGGCTGGGCCGAGCCAGCACTGTGACGGGGACCCTGGCCATTCTGGAATCAATTGACAAGCCAAACGCTGCCGCTCCACCATGGGCAAGGTCGGGCGAATAAAATGTGCGCCGGCCATCTGTGACAATCATGTTGTAGTTCTCATCTGGGAATCGAGTCGAGAACCGGGGGATCTCGCTTGGCTTCATTCGCCCAGGCAGGATCTGAAGGAGGTTTGCAGGGACCGTCATGTGCCCGCCCTGCGACTCTTTCCCGATCTTGACGACATTTACTTTTGGATCCATTTGCCAATTGTGCTTCATTGAGAAGTAGTCTCTCACAAGACCACCCGAATGCTGTTGTTTGAGATGTCTCATGTCGCACCTATCGGCTGTAGACAGTCCATCATTACCCACGAGCCCTTTTATGCCAGAAAACCGATCGAGTCCTGGCTCCTGGAACGCCAGCCTTACCGGAGCCCGGCGCAAGAAATCTTGAAGGGCATACAGACCGGCCGAAGGGTATTGACGTCTGAATGCATCAATCACGTCTTGGACACTCCCATGCTGCCAAAAACAGCCGGTCTTGATGTAGATGTTGAGATCCACGTGCCCCGGCGAACTGAATGAGCCTCGGACGCTCCTCGAGAATCCTGGAATGCTGTAGAGGCCACCTCGCCCGTCGAGCACCTTACCAGTGTCTGCCATCCAAGGTCCTAAATGTCGGGGAGGAGGTGGGGGAGCGATGCCATAGAACGTCTGTCCTTTTACCGTAGTCATCGACGGGGTAGAGTCATGACGACTGGAAAAGCAATGCTGGTAAGGAAGATAGCTGAAGATGATGTTGAGAGCGTTGGTTGCATCAGTGAGAGCTTCAGTCGACAGCTGCGCCCCGGCGACCTGAGGTTGTGCAGAGCCATAGTGCGCGAAGAGATCGGTCAGAGAGATCAGCTTCGGCTTTTCAAACTCTACACGGTACCGGTCACAATCTGAGTCGGGACCAGCCGAGTACTCGTCGTAGAAATCAAATTCGCGTGACTTGGTTGTACCCTCATCCAGTTGGTTTGGCGTGATGAGCAGCTTCAGGTAATCAGTAGCGATGGGGTCCGGAAGTCTCTTTTCCAACTTGAGTTGCTCGAGGAGGAGGTAAACCAGTCGTCTCTTCTTCTGCCTCGCGATGTTGCGTGTCTGCTGTGTAGCAGGGACGCCGTTCTTTGTCTCGGTGGATCGACTTTGGTCGTTCTGTGCTTCTGGGTGCAGTCTACTGATGCTCAACTCGTAAGAAAAGACTTGTTGGTAGGTCCCTAGTGTGATGGCGAAGTGGTTGGCTAGCAGCTCTTTCCCTGGAATGTCGACATTTCGTGTCCCTTGAGGTTTCGAGTTCCCATGCAGCCGACCACCCCGACCGCCATGACCTGTTTGTGGCTGTCTCGGGCGGTGAGACAACGGTGGGTGTTTCCCTCTACCAGCAGTCTGGGGAGGTTTCCAGTCGGTATTGGCCTGCCGAGAGGTGAAGTGACCACCTGGTTGAGGAAGCGCCCGGTTGCCGCTCGAACCAGGAGGCGCTCCTTGCCGAGTCGGTTGGAAAGGGGCCACTGATGGACCAGTTGGAGGAAGATTTGGCGAAGAGTTGTTTGGCTGGCTGTTACCAGGACTGAAGATTGGGTTCGCACGGTATGGTGGTTGTGCCTCATCAGCATTGTTGTTGGGAGTGTTGCGATTGGGGCGACCCCAGTTCGGATTGTATTGTGACATCTTAGCCGGATGAGTGACGGAGAGGTTCCTAAGAGCGAAGAGGTGACATTTTCACTTGAGAACGACTGGATCTACAATACGTTAGTAAAACGAACAAGGCCAGTTGTTTGGTCTCAACAGCGTCAGGCTGTTTGCTGCAATAACGAAAACACCAAGCAACCCAGAGAGGGAAAGCCAAAGCCATCTGTGTAACAACAAATCCCGCAGAACGAGACAAACACCAGTATTCTTAGTTGTGAGTGAGGAAACGGAATGAAGAGCCCAACGCATGAGGATGTAGAGCAAAGTTGCCCAAGGCGGTTTTCAAAGTACAGGGAGATGCAAACAGTCAGGATGAGGCTGGTTAACTGAAGAATATCGAGCCCCTGAAGTGCCATTCATTGTAAGAAAAGCATTGCAACAAGTACACCAAACACAAATATGCTCGCTTCGAATCTGTTCCAGTCAGCAGGGAAATGCAACACGCCTCCAGCAGTAGAGGCATTTACCTTATAGAGATTTACCATACTTTATTACCATAGCAGCTTGATCGCCCCGTCTGGTCCTCTGCCTCCATCAAGTCGCGCTGGTTTGTGGACCCTTTTCAACCCGTTGCTTCAACTCGCCGTTGAACTTGTCCAGCTGCTTGACCAAGTCTTTCACCATACTGCCAGGAACTAACACACTCAGCAGTCCTTCGACGTCTTCGCCATGATCGAACAGCGTCTTCTCCCCACCGTCCTGTGGCACGAGCCTAAACCAATGATAGCCCCTCAGAGTCCACGCCAGCCACTCTGGCAATGGGCCACCCTTCCACGCGAACTCTGTCTTGTCGGGTTGCCAAGTGGTGATGCGCGCTGTATAAGTTCCGGGCTTAGCGGTCTCAGACATGGCGTTTGTGAATGTGACCAGAGTGCCTAGTTCAACAGGGGTTGAATGGGCGCGAATAGATAGGAACCAAGTGTTCCACTCTGGCCACCTGGGGAAGTCAACGAGGACGTTCCAGACGTCTTGAGGAGAGGCGTCAATAACAATGGACGACAATGCTGGCATGATGATGAGGCTGAAAGGGTTTCGAGCTACAAGGGAGAGTGTATGCTAGTTCGGTTGGTTAGTTTTGGCATCCGTGAAGATGCCCGTTTGTGGCGAGGGATGGGCAGCATGGGAACGCAGACACATCTTAAATAGGCCGCCCATTGTGAATGCCTGGTTGATCAAGACAAGATAACGCAGCAAGGGGTTTGATGGTCGTTCGCCCGGACGCGGACTCTTGCAGGTGAGAAAGACAAGCTCAGGATGATTCCCGTCATTTCCCCGCCAAGAAAAAAGCAGCCTGGCCGAAGTTTGGTCCGTCACAGTCTCTCAGTCTCTCAGCCTCGCAGCCTCGCTTGATCTCAAGTCACGTCTCGTTGCCAGTCAGTGCCAGTCTCCCGCGGGTGGGTATCTTCATTCGCTACATTACTTTTACTGAGTACGCGCAGACTTTTCATAGCACCAATACAGCCAATCATCTGTATCGTTTATGATGGTGGTATGTTCGGCCCGTGCTCCGTGCTCAATGCAACACCCCAAACCCCTCCCCCAGAAATGCTGCAGAAAGCTCAACAACACATGTACCCGTTGATGAAATGCCGTCAGCTCATCCTCGTAACTTATGTTCTCGTACTCCTCGTCTGTCGGATCGTCCGTCCTGACCGGGACGCCGGGTCTGTCTGTTCCTTGGACGCCATATTTTTCTTCGCAGCGACTTTCTTGCTCTGCCGTTCCTTACTAGCAGCAGTGTACTTTTGTTCCTCAAGGGTCGAGGATGTGCCCTCTTGCTTGTCTGTTTCACTCCCATTTTCATGGATGGCAGCAGTATCTTCATCCTCGTCGACATGGATTTCGTCATCAGGATTTTTCTCTTCGACTTCCATCTCGACGTTATTGTCTCGCACTTCATCGTCCTCAGTTTCGCTGTCATCATCATCGTCTTCCTCGCCATCATGTTGCTGATCCAGGTCTTGATCCGAGTCTTGTTCCTCTCCCTTGCTCTTCCTCCGGGAGGTTGGAATGTTTTTCCGAGGTATCGTGTTCTCCATTTCCACGTCTCCGTCCTCTGAATCTGACTCTGCATACGACACCACGTTGGAAGCACGGTTACTCTTCCGTGATGGCAAGACCGGACTGCTAGCAGGCTCCGAGCCCTTCCGCCTTGGTTTGGGGGTCTTGCGAATTGCTAGGGCGCTTTTCTTTGCTTTCTTTGCCACTTTCTTTCGCTCCCCCCCGTCGTCCTCGCCATGGTCGAGCATCGCTGCATCACTCTTCCGCTTCCTCTCGGCAATCACTGCTCGCTTAACTGGTTGGCTAGCATTCTTCAGCTCCTTGATATATATCCGAATCATCTTTTCCAGTCCGATGGCAACGTCCTCCGGGAGATAATTTCTCTCTGCAATTTCCTGCGCTTTCTCGTGACTGGGAAGTGCCTTGAACAGATTCCGAGGAAGGCTCACTTTGCCAGGCCATGTCTGCAGCAAATTGACACCTTTTGCGTGCGCTGGCATAATGTCGGCGTAATTCCGGATCACTGCCTGAGACAGATCGCTAAGAATATATAGTCGCTCGCTCGCTTCATCTGTACCAACAACACCGTCTCTGGCGCCCTTGACACGCTGGGCTATGTGAAATATCAGTGAGAGGTTGTCTTCCGTGGCGATAGTCCAGAGGTAGAAGACAATATATTTTGCAAAATCCAGCAAGTCTTCGTCAAAGCTGTCGCTGTCCCGAGTTGGGAAATCCGGGTGATGAGCTAACAGGCTGAGCAGACGTGCAAATATGGACTCCATTACATTCTGATGCATTTTCTTATCTCCTGAATCTGCCTGAAGCTTCTGCCTGGCGAAGAATTGTACGCGTGCTCGAATCCACATGATGGTCGATGTGCGCAGCTCTATGTCCGGCTCAAAGGCCAGGAGGAAGAGAGCTGTGAACCACCTATGAGCGAGGCGGTTCAGACCTAGATACTTCTTCAGCGAATTCACAAACCCAGCCCGCACCGGATTGGGCGGATGAATTATAATCATCACAATCGATATGAACGACTGAGGGTCAATGAAGTCTTCGAACTTCCGCTTGTGGCTGCAGAGCTTTAATATTAGATGTGCGGCAACAAGTCTGAGCCGGTTCTTCTGTGCGGGCGGTGTATCTTTTGAAGGCGTCATTTCTCCTTCGTTGTAGACTAGAGTGATGAGATGATTGAACACCTGTTTTGCCAGTGCGGTATACTCGTCGTTATTCTTGGTTTCATCCTGGGACCGACAGCGATTGACGAAAATTTTGAGGGCCAGTTCTTTCGCTCGTGTCTCGTCATCTGCTATATCATCCCACGCACTCGAGTCTTCCTTTTTGCTGGGCGACTGATTTTTGAGTAGAATATTTGAGAGGCAAAGCTTCTGAATCGTGTCCGAGTCGACGTTTGCCGTGGACGGAGCAAGCAGGCAGATCTGCGCTATTGCAGCAAGGCGAGCGAGAAAATGAGGGTTATCGGACTCAAGACCTGCCAGCGCCTTTGACAGCAGGTCTTTAGCATACATTTCTTTCTTATCAGCAGCCATCATAATGATAGACACGGCGTGTTTCGCTGCACGGGGAGATTTCGAGTACAAAGCAAATTGTGCCAGCGATGTCAGGAACTTCCGCTCCTTGGGCATATCTGATGGATATTTCCGAGCAAATGCCGCACATGCCTTGAGAGTGTCAGGGGCACCGTCTTGCTCAGGTTTTGTACTTGATGGAGCCTCATCCTCAAGCTCTTTGCACAGCGCCTGGATATGGTACTTGAGCACCTCCGGATTCCGGGCAGAGATCTCCTTCAGAACCTCGTGAGCTACCTCACCCAAGCCGCCCTCATCAGTCCGCGATATAGCCATGATTGTTGGGACATGACTTCGATTATAGGCGAGCAAGGCGCACCGGTATAAGAGCTGTTGAATCGTGGCAAGAAGTGATTGAACATTCCCGGGAGCTTCGCGTATTCGTTTGGTAAGCTCCTTGATAGCTTTGGTGACCGTGCGATAATCATGCTCAGGACCAGTGGCAAAGCGTATCAGCTGATACCATCGACGGTTGTGCTGCCTTGCGAATTTCCAGAGGTCAGTCGAAACCTCGGATGGCTCAGGAAAATTTTTCGAGATTTGATCGATCATGCGGGTGAGACGCTTCTCAAGGGTTGCCTCTGTAGAGTCGTCTTCCAGAATACCTCCATTGTATTCCTCGCAAGTCCCCAGAAATACCTTCATACCTTTGCTCATTTGTACCTGTCGATTTTGGAGGCTGAAAAAGACGGCGCGTGGTCTGATGTCCAAGCTTTGGACGAGTGTTAGGATGCGACGTGCTCTAACGGCATCAGGATCAAATATTGATTCTTCTTGTGCGCCACCCTCCTTGTCTCTTCCTCGCTGTCTTTGGCTCTCAGCTCGGGACGCTTGGACCTTGGATGGTGGGAAAAAGAGCGGCAATAGACTTTCATAGAGAACTCTGTCAATCACAGCGTGAACGTGCGGCTCGTTGGTGAAATAGGCGCCAAATATACGATTCGGGATATCTCCAATAGTGCTCTTGACAATCTCATTGCCTGACTCGACATCGCTAGAAGCGACACCCCAAATCCGGCCGAGCAATTCAATAGCAGCCTCTCTGACGTGATTCTTTCGATCGATAACGCGCTCAGCCAACGAAAAGAATACAGTGTGCTGTTTCAGCAAGCCGCCATCAGCTCCGAGGATATTTATCATACCCTGATAGGTGAAAGTGTCAATGGACCGAATGGCCGCAAACCGCACATGTTCTTCGGGATCGCGCAGCATCTGAGCAAAGCCAGTAAGCAAGTCCTCAAGCTCTTGAGGATTCAAACCAATGCCGCCGGCCGAAGTACGCAGGATTCGAGCAGCGGCATTGGCCCATGCTTCTCGAACCATGTGTGACTTGTCAATGCGACGGCCGAGGAAGGCCTGATATGCTGCAGCGTGGACCGCCATAAAAGGCTTGGGTGAGGCCGCAGTAAGGAGGGGATTTGTGGTTTGCACAGGGGGCTCTCCTGGATTGTCGATGGAGGGTAAGGGGTAAGCAGCAGGATCAAGAGGTACAGTCGGAGGTAGCCCAGCAATGCCAATCCCGGCTGTGATATCCCCGACGGTTTCAGTGGCCAGTCGACGAAGCGAGGCGGCATCGGCGGAGAATTCAGCTTCAACTTGAGGAATCACATTCAAGAGGACATCCGGACACGCGCGCCACAACTCTCGAAGTAAACGATGGGCTTTCCGCAAATCTGCTAGACCCTCTCTTTCTTCATCGTCACCATCAGCATCCGAAGCGGAACGTTTGTGGGTAGGACGAGAGATAGTGGGAGCACTGGTTGCGTCGACAATCACAGTCCCAAAATATTGAGTGATTTGGGATGTCATCTTCTCGGGACAGGTGGTGCAGAGCGACTTGGCCATATTATATGCTGGAGGGTAGTCTTTGAGGAGCAGCGTCCCCTGCTTGGTGTCATGAGAGTCTCGTTTTTTGCCTTTGGATCCATGTTCCTCGAGATTGCGGGCATCCACACGCATGAACTGCGAGATGATAATGTCCGTCACCTCTGGAGGCAGGGTAACCTCGTCGACGACTGCAGCCAGGAGGTTCTTTAGGTGATATTCCACGCTCTTCGAGACCTCGACGCCCGAGGCGCTATTTCCAGAGGCGGCTACGATGTCGAATGCCGTTGTGAAGAGAGACGTAAGCAGACTTTCATGGTTCGGGATGTCCGTCACCAGTAGAATGCTTTGTGACTCGGCCAGGGAGATAAGGATGTAGACGTGTTGGGCATTGTATGCGTTGGTTGGATCCGCAAGGGCCGGAAGAATAGAGGTGATGATGACTGTGAAGATGTCCTACTCGTGTCAATGGCAACGCCCTCGGCTGTTTGAAATGGGATGTCGCGAGCACACACACCTTCAGTTGCGCCTCGACGAACGGCGCATCGGGAGCGCAGATCTTGAGTACGTCGACAATACAAGAGACAGTCCATGCTCTTACACCCTTGTCCTTATGTCCGAGAAGATTTGGGTTTGCGAGATCGAGCCCAAGGGTAGTGAAGGCGCGTGAGTCGACTTGATCGACATCATAATTGCGCAGCTGGCCAGCAAGCTTCTGCAGCCGCTTGAGAAGGTCTCCCACGGCGATTGGTTTACCGGCGCGCCATTCCAGAGTGTCGTCGAACTGAAGGCCGGGTATATCGTATCGACGGGAAGCCTGCGCAGCCTCTACAGCGGCAGTATTGCGAAGCCGGGTGGGCATGTTGCAAAGAGGGGTGTCACGAGTCGACTGTCATCTTTGGGAGAGGGACGACTAAGACAGGTTTATTGAGAAGCACCGAGATAGAGACGATGGTCGCTGTCGTAAAGAAACGAGGATTGCGATTGACAAGTCGAATGCTCCGAAGTGGGTGAAAGCAGTGACCACGGAGACAGGAGTAGCTCGTGATGGTGATAATATCGCAGTGGGTGACGATGGCGGAGGCTTGAAATGTTGGAGGTGCCCAAAACGCGTCCGCTAGTGAGACGCGTCGATATATTAACTGCGCCCGCACCCCTCGGGTCTCGTCTCTGATGAAGCTCACACCTTACAATACGCAGGAGCCGGGAACCCGTGTTTTTGGAGACTCTCTGTTCTGAACTTTGCTGTTTCCTCATTGCACTGCTGCAAATATCTCAAACCTTTCACATGTAGGTCGGTCATACCATGGCGAGCTTCTCCCCCTCCACGAGCTGCGCTCCCGTTAACCCGGCGAGCTACGAACGACACCCTGAAGGTCACTTTTGGTTGTCTACTGGATGTCCAACCCCTCAAATGTAACAACGAGATCGTCCTTCTCCCCATGTGGCGCCGGTTTCGCGGCATAAACGCCAACCCAAATCTCTGTGTCCTTGGGTAAATCTCCCCACCACGTCACTTCTCTCAGCGGTAACCTCTTCCCGCTTTCACTGACCAGCCAGACCCAGAGGCTTCCGTCGCTTGCGTTCTCGATCTCAACAATGGCCGTGTGCTCAATGCTCAGGGTTTCAGCCAGCAGAGGCCTGAGGCTCCAATCCGCCCACCGGTCCTTTGCCACAGTGCCCACCAACGGCACATTGTCGAGGAATTCAATGCCCGTCTTCACCCAGCGAGGGGTGTCTGTTGTTTTTATGACCAGACACAGACCGCCTTGATCGTATTTGTCCTTCCAAGGGGCCGCGACTGTCACTTTCGCGGACTTGAATGTGCCGACTGTGCTGGTTTTGTAAATGATTGGCGCATTGAACGAGTGTGTTGCAGGCGGCTTGTCCCAAATATCGGTTCCAGGGGAACAGGTGATTTCAAAAGAACCAGAGAGGTCGGGGATGTCATGGTTGAGATGAATGGACTTGAAATTCGACGCCATGATGCAATGGCTGAGCTTCGCAATCAAGTGTTACAAGGCCAGAAGTATCTTGTGGCTCTGATGGTGAAGGAGGATCGCAATCGTCAAGCTGATATGACTTCAGAGTATATCTGGTCTCTTCCCTGAACGCGGCTCGACAAGGCGCAAGCGCTATTCATCGAGGGATTTTTATATGTCCTGGAAATCTGCTGGATGGATTTGTCCGTTCTCCAAGTTGCAACGTCGGGATCCCGATGTGGTACCGAGGCCGGCAATAACGAGGATCCTGCGCCAAATTGGGAGCGGCCCGCCAGCGGCGTATTCAGATCGAACTTGTGCGCGATGAGCTACTTTCTCGCAGCGATGGTAGCAGACGCCTGAATGTACTTCCTCAGAATTTGTTCTTCGAACAAACCCGCCTGAATGGCCCTCGACATGGGAGATACAGAATGACTGTTACAAACCTAACTACTCTGGGTTATAGGAATAATCTCAGCTGACGGCTGCCCTCAAACATTTAGTTCAGACATGGTTCCAAATTTCAGGTTGGTTTTTTATGCACTGCTGGTCCTACTGACCCTTTCCTCGTCACTTCCAAACGACTTCAACTCATCCGTTTTTGGGAGCCTCGGCGAAAAGCTTTGCAAGGCGTTCATCAAGCCATTTGACATCCTCCATATTACCAGGTGGTCCGCCCGCCCAATGCCCCCAGATGCTTGGGTATACATCCAGTTGGCCCACGCCTGGAGACATGTTTTTGACTTCGTACTCGGAGTCCTCGGGCCTGTTGGTGAGTAGATGCGCGTGAGTGATCAAAGTCAGGTATCAAGAGAAATGTCGTCAAGATCGACAAGCGAATAAAGATGGGAAAGCTTACGGGAAATATAGGTCCGTCTTGCTGGGCAACACCAGGGTTTTCGCCTTGATAGCCCTCATTGCCGCCTCAAAGTCGCCGTTATAAGGTTCTTGCTTGCTCACATCACCGGCCTGCCAGGTGTACAGCATGACCAACAAATTCTCGGGATCCTTTGACAGTGCCCAAGTCTCCCAGAAATTGACCATGAAATCCTCGAGATCCTTTGCGCCGTAGGCTGACTGGTGAAGCTTTTCGCGATAAAAGGCCTGGGAGAAGCCCCATCCGGCATATCCTCTCCCAAAGGCTTTGAGACCAGTGGCCTTTTCCTGGTCGGTCCACTGACGGTTCGACTTGATAGCGACGGCATCTTGGGCGTTTTCAACTCTGTCAAAGGTACTCCCAGCGGAACTGAGCCCTTTGGCCGCCAACAGGGCCGACTTGACGCCTTCCAAGAAGACCTGGTTGTGGATGGATGTTTTTGCGCTCCCACAAAAGGGCACGGCAATGTCGACGAAGTCGGGATACTGGGTAGCCCACTGGAACGCCTGGCCGGCACCCATGCTCCATCCGAGCACGGCCCTCAGGTGCTTCACACCCAACTTCTCGGTGAGCAGACGGTATTGGGCTTTGACATTATCGTAGAAGGTGACATCCGGGAAGGGCACGACGTCCGAGTTTGAGGGGCTGATGGACTGGCCGTTGCCAAAGAGGGCGGTGATGATGACGAAGTATTTGTCCGGGTTGAGGGTCTTGTCGGCGCCAATCAGCCACTCATTGTCGGAGATGAGGCCCGAGTACCACGACGGGTAGAGCACGACAGGGTTACTGGGGGAGCCATAGGTCTTGTAGGCGATCCAGGCCTTGGGGATCGTGGCGCCGCTCTGTACCGCAAAGTCGCCCAGGTTGTATGTCTCGTAGTCTGCCGGCATCGTACGTATAGATATCTCGGAGGTTCCTATGACACTTTTCCAGCAAAAGTCTGTTAAGTCGAGATGAAGAAAATTACTAGAGAAACTAGAAATCAATGCCTTCTCGACTCGACACAGCTCTACCTCTACCTCAACCTCAAAAGTAGGTTATTAGCAATGAAATACCTTAGATTGCAAGGGCCGAGACTCTGCTGATCCGCTCGTTCCCTCATATCGTATCATCGGTGGCACATGCTCAACCCCGCAAACTTGTCGCACATCTCCATCTCGACGCCTGGGTGGATTAGGCATGGTTTACTGGCCAATTCGCCTTGTGAGTGTGATACGAGGCGTGATAATGTGAGGTCGTTTGAGGAAGTCAGGTTCATTGTGATGAGCGGGGTGTGCATGCGCAAGCACAAGGACCGGATTTCTCCCGCCATCCGGGACTGACAGAGGAGGAGGGGAAGGGGAGAAGGAGAAGAGGCACCCAGTCATACAGATGGATGTGACGGTGATATTGGGACGGAGTTTTACCTCGTACATGGTTCCTCTTATCATTCACTCCTTTTGGTGTGTTGCTCTGCAGACATGTATTACGAGGTACCACCTGTGCCTACGCCATAGGTGGGTTGATAGGTATAGAACCATTTAGTCATGACGTATCTATATCTCTAGTATGTATCTTGTACACTTGTAATGTACCTAGTAGAGTCAAGTCCATGGCGATGACCCTTGTCCTGTGTCAATCAATACAGCCTAATCAGAAGGTAGATGAGTGATCGATGCGTCGCTGTATGCCCTAGTGTGTGTGCCCTTGATGTGTCCTTCCTTCTATGCTCCCACACAAACCTCAAAAAAAGTATCAAGTATCACTCATCCCTCCTTCCTTCTCTGCCATTCACACCCACTTTCCTCGGTCCCAACTTCATCGTCTCGTTCATCCGAAGAATCTAGTACTGATTTCCCCCGTCGTCCTCGGCTCCGATGAAATAGAAGCCATTCCATTCCATCTCACCTACTCACTCGGTACTCGTTAGTCTGTTCACCGGAGGATGAGCGATTTCTAAGCCACCCCTCGACCTTTGTTGTTCCGAACGACGGACAAAAAGAGAACGAAATCGAAGACACTGAAGACAAAAATCCAATTTCTTCCACTTCTCATCTCCCATATTTCACCTTAACTCGCTGATAACATTAAACTCAAGTTCCTGAGAGACGGATCAAGTAAACGAGCGACGGACAGTTCGACCGAAAAACCGGGAGGAAGAAAAAAGAAGCATTCTTGTGAAAGAAAATAAGAGGATTTCGCCATCGCGCCGCCGAGGTTCGTCTCGTCTCATCTCTATACCGAGCACGAGTACCAGATAGAGTATCCACACACGGACGTACAAACACGCGCACGCACAAAACACATATACGGCCTTATCAGTTGATGAAGGGAGAAGGATCCCCTTGAAAAGACGAAGAGAAGTCAATTCTTTGGGTTAACAAACGAAAAAAAGGACACTGGACCAGCTTTTTACACCCATCCACCAAGAAGGCCTTGGTTTGCCTCTGTAATAACGATCTGCCCCCGACTTTGAAAGCCACCCCTCCCGGTCAAAAAGAAATGTCCGGCACTCCGTCAAACCCGCAGGAAGCACAGCAGAAGTATGACGCCGAGGTGGTCGTGAAGCGCAATCCGCACGGCGATTTTGCCCAGGTGCAAGCCTCGCGGCCGGATTGGGACGAGTCGCGTACGTGGCAGTTCACCAAGACGCGGAATCCCGAGTGGACGTACGGGAGCGGTGGTGGCAGCGCAAACGCATCGTCGACAGCAAAGGAGCAACGACAACACATCAGCATCGACCCCTACGCAGCGGACCGACAACCCGTGCAGAACTACAAGCTGCTCATCAGCGGCATCATCCCCCGACCCGTGGGTTTCCTGTCGACGCGGTCTGCGGACGGCACGTCAACGAACTTGGCCCCCTTTTCGTACACGCAGGTCTTCAACCACGACCCGCCCATCTTCGGGGTCGGCTTCGCTGGCGGCCTCGACGCTGCAAAGGACTCGCTGCGCAACCTACTCGCGACGGGCGAGTGCGTCATCAACATTATCAGCGAGGACTTTGTCGAGGCCGCTAATGCCTGCTCTATCGACCTGCCCTATGGCCAGTCTGAGTGGGGCGTATCCGGTCTCACCCCAGCCCCGAGCGACCTAGTCAAGTGCTCCCGCGTCAAGGAGAGCGTATTCAGCGTCGAAGGCAAGCTGGTGTCCACGCAGGAGTTCGAGTCGCGATCCCCCAAAACCCCTGGGAAAAAGACCGGCGTGCTCGCCGTCATCGAAGGCGTCAGGTTCTGGGTTCGAGAAGACGCCATCAACGACGACAGGTCCATCATCGACCCCGCCATCTTGCGCCCCGTCGCCAGACTGGGAGGTATCACCTATGCCAGAGTGCTGGATGGCTTCGAACTTCCCAGGCCTGTGCTCAAGGACGAGAAGGAACAGGGCAAACTCGCCGAAGAGCTTGTCAAAGAAAAAGTCGACGGACAATAGTAGAAGATTGGATCAGATGCCATGTACCAACGATAAAGCGTTTTGTTAGACACGGTTTAGAAATAGAGCCGAGGTAGACAGGATGGCCCCCTTCCGAAGAACTCTGTGAGGGCATATATGCCTCGCATAGCCACAACCAGCATATCGATCAACGCAGGCATTTGAATAGGTTTGTTTGAAAGACGAGACCAAAAAGAGATGATTCGTGCAAAGGGACAGCACAAGGACAACACAAGAGAAAACTTGTTCAGCAATGGCCATGCATGCAACTGCAACGCAACATCGAGATTATCTTCAAAAAAAGAACGTAATTTGTTGCAGGGTGGTTGAAGCCCTGCTATGACAACAACAACACCGACATCAACACATGATTCCCCCTTTCATATGACATCTTCCATTGTCCTCTCTGTCCCTGCAGGCCGGGAGGAAGCAGGTATAGTGTATGTACGGGCGGTCTATCCATCTCGTCGTTGAAAGCTGTTTTCAAGCAAACAGATGGCAGCAGGACTGGGATCCTCAAGCTGGGACTCGAACGGATGTCGGATAGTTGTCGTTGTTCATTTGGCGAGAATAAGGACAATCAAGCCTGTATGTATTGTGGTGAAGGCTGAGCACCGTGTATCCAAAACGCCGCAGATAGGACGGGCTCCTCCAAGAATCACCCTGCCGCATCCATCGTCGTCGTCGTCGTCGTCGTCGTCGTCGTCTATCTCCCTCCTCCTCTCTCCCCCTTCGAAATCAACGCGGGCGTCAAACGTAAAGGGCAAGGTCTAGCCTTTGACGCGCCATGTTCCGTACGAGCAAGTCTTCTCTTCTCTTCTTCTTTCTCTCCTCCCCTGTACAGGACCACTTCAACTTGGCCATCAAAAGAACTTGCCCTTGACTTCGACTTGGCTCCGTACAACGCCGTCTCCGTCAGCGTAGACGTCTCTCTCCGAGTCGCCCGTGGTTGGGCTCGTTCTGCCCGTGTAGAAACTCGCGGACGGCGCTGCAGGCTTGTCCAGCGCATCGAACCTCGTGCCCCGAATCTTGGCGATGCACCATTGTACAGAGAGTCTCAGTACAAACGCGCCGAGCGCCCACAGCAGCCCGCCCACGGGGGCGGCCACGAATGCTCCAAAGGCAGACCAGTCGTCCGCGTACAGGCCGGCTTCGAGTAGTAGTAGGGCACCCGCGGAGCTGACGTCTCCCTTGTAGAAGACGAGGCCGAAGAGGAAGACGGTCATGATACCGCCGAGTCCTCCCACGACGACTTCAAACCCGCGCCAGGCGTAGCATCGGTCACTCAGACCGATGACCAAGACGGGGATGGAAGACGCAGAGATGAGATCGGAGATCAGGTAGATCTGCAGCACCGAGGGCGACTTCAACGCCACGACCACCACGGGGACAATAATCACCACAACGGTCGCCCGGAGAACCCACAGGTTCAACTTGTTGCGGAAAATGTCGTTGGACCCGGTACTCACCATGGCGGACTGGAAGCTGTCGAATGCTGCGGTGGACAGAGCAACCGTCATGACAATGACAAACCCCACGACCCAGGCGGGAAGCTGTTCCAGTAACAGGAAGAAGGCAATCGAGGACTCCTCGGGCGGATCGCCCAAAGCGCCAGACCACCCAGCCAGGAGTCCAGAGACGCCGCAAAGCGTAAGGATGATGGCGACGGCCACGGTGGCAATGCTCACCCCAACCCACAGGTCTTTATCGGTCTTTGCCGCAAACGTCCTCATCCAGAAGCCGGAAAGGAAGAAATCGTTTGTCAGGATCGCCACTGGCAGGATGTACATCAACTGCCAGCCCAGCAAACTTGCATCCAGGTATCCGCTCTTGTCCATCAAGTCCTTTTGGACATGGGTTTCCACACCGACAGTGATGCATCCGATGATGATCAATGCCACGACCATGGCGCCTTGGATGTTGTCTGTGATGAAAGACACTTTGAAACCTCCCAGAGAAGTGTAGATTGTGGTCACCACACATTCCACGATCACGACAGGGAGGCCGTTGAGCCCGGTCAGTGCGTTGATGATCTGCTGGAGAGCAGACAGCTCGGCGACCATGTAGAGAAAGATCGTGATGAGTCTAATTGAGGTTAGATGCGAGTAAATCCGGGGGGAAGAGGAGGTTCGTACGTCAAGGCCGAGAGATACAATGCAGCAAGAGCTCCATATCGCTGGCGTGTCCACTCCGTGAGCACAAACCCCTCGGGACATTTTCTCCTAATAATCGGCCCAAGATACGCGAAGACAAGCAGTGGTAGGGCCGATGAGAGACTGTAGACCACGAGGCCCTGCACACCCGCGATGGTGGCGATCTGCGGGTACGTAAACAAAATTCCTGAACCCAAAGCTATTTGGCCACAGAGGACCGTTTTGTCAGTATGGACGATCTCGGGCACTAGGGAGGGGGTCAAGGGGTTAGGGGGGAAGCTGGCAGCACGTTTCCCACGCAAGCATTAACTTGATCGAGTTTTGACGGTACAATCTCAGCAATGTGTCATCAGCATTTCGCGACTCCGTCATCTCTGGATGCTTGAACAAGAACCCAGGTGGATGAAGAGGCAATGGAAACGATCAGACACAAGCGCCCGTAGTGCTGCACATTGGCCCTTGAGCCCTTTTGACGCCACAAAGAAAAAACGCCCTCGACACCTGCACCTGCTTGGGGTAAGACAATCAGAGTAGAGGCGCGGAGCACGGATCTTCGGTCGGCCAAAGAGCAACAAGAGCCAATGGCGTTGATGCAAGCATACGAACCTCAGATGGAGAGCTTTGCTCAGCACATGCCAATGAGTCAAGGTATTGTATCGATCAAACGGGGTCCGGAACCACCTCGAAAAAGCTGTCGTGTGTCGGCCCATTTCTGGTTGTGGTTTTCGTGTTCAAGGTGCTTGACCCTCGTGCTGCCGCCGTTTCAGGCTGTTGCTGCTCTTCGAGCACACTCACCCGACGCGATGAAATTGAAGGCCAGAGGTATGCCTGGGAATTCTATCAGCCACTGCGTTTTTCTTCCAATGCGGAGTACTCGAAGTTTGGTCGGATCGAGTCATGTTTTGTACCCTTCTGTGTTCGCAAAGTAGCGAGATACTCGCCCTTTGTCTGGTGCCGCAGCGTCCATGCGACGACGAGACCGAAGACACTAGTCGGACACATTGTTAGTTGTCCTCCTCTTACTCTGCGAAGGGGCCTTTGAATGAGGAGTTTGCGCACAGGAAAGCTGCGTAGGTGGTGTAGATGATGGCGTTTGACGCCTGTTGAGATGGTTGACCCATTGTGAACTGAGCCTAGTCCAGCGTAGACGGCGACTGTGTGGTGTTTGACAAATGTGAGGCTCTACAGAGAGTGCTGAGCTCTTTTACTTCTCGGAGGGTCGAGGCGCAGAAAGAAAAGAGGAAAAAAAAAGAAACTTCGCAGGGTGTATGTTGACGTGGGGCAACTCAGTTTTTCTTTTGTGGTTCAGCGCATGAGATCATACCACATTATTATTATTGGAGATGGTAGGCTTGATCTCGGGTTACAAACCACCAGCAAACACCATCCCCCAAAGGGAGACTCTTCCACCCTTGCTCACTGGCCCAGAGTGACCTGCTCTTAGCTTCGAGACTTTGATACTGATGTAGATAGACATCAGTCCTTAGCAATATCCACACCACTGGTGCTCTCATTCGAGAACTAGCTTTGTCGTAGTCCCGGTAGTAACATTTCCTCTTCACACATCTGCAACCACTCGATCCCCGAATCCCTCTTTCAATCGGTCCGAAGACGGACATGAATGGTATCTGCATCTTTCGTTGCGGCATTCAGTCGTAATGAATCCCAGTAGCCTTTTCGCATGGATCCTCTGCAAACTCAACGTGACACCCATACCAATCGTCGCTTCGAATCAGATGGGCTTTGAATTGGACTGCATGGCTAATGTTTGCGAACCGGAAGACGATGGTGCGGATCTGTCGCAGGAGTCAGCTGGAGCTCACAACGAAAATTGGACATATGCCGGACAGGTTGGACTCACCCCATTACGATACGTATCCTGCACAGCCTCGACTTGACGGGTGCCAGGCTTTCCTTCAGCGAGCTTGTTCAAAGCAACAATACCCCAGTCGTCATCGGCGCCGCTCACCTTGACCACGCGGGTCGCTCCACAGTCGAGATATCCCTGCAACATTCCAGAAATCACATCCACTTGCTCTTTCTTGTGCACGAGCACGGACCACTTTCTGCCTTGATGGCGGATTTCCATTCCCCTGGGATAGTTGCCACAATAGCATTCGCAGGCATCGGCAGAAGCAAAGGTTACGTGAGCCGCGATCGTGGTCCGCTCAGGGATGGACGCGACAAGCATCATGCCTTCAATTGCACCACCATGGATAAGAGATTGGACAAGCATGAAATCGGCACCGCGTGGCAAACCAGTGAGAATGACAGTACGTGGACGAGATTCTGAAAACATTATTGGCAGACTCATGTAACAGAATGAGAAAAACTTACTCGGTTTATTGCGGGCGACAGGGGTTCCCCATGACCTGAACCGGACGAGGTTTTCTCGGTCTTCTTCCTCGTCATTTTCCTCGTCGTTATTTTCATCTTCGACACTTTCGTCTGTGTCTGTGCTAGCAGTCACCACAATGGTGGGAGATTGGGTGTGGCGTGGGGGGCTATCGTTGTCATGCACTCCGCTCGTCACCGGAACGCCATCTTTGTCACTGTCGTTTTCGACTGCGTTGTCTATCTTCAGATGAGCAGTGGAGGTCGATAGACGCTCGTCTTCGGCCTTAGCCACGTCTGCTGATGCACAGTAATCATCGCCCAACCCCTTTAGGTTGCCAAAGGTCTGCCCATTTGGACCACCGACGTGGGTGGGAAATGGAACAACATCTGTCAACTCATCGACTTGCTTTGGACCTGCGTCTACATGTCAGGCAGTGTGTGTTATACTGTGTAATTCGGGCTTACCATTGTTCATGTGCTGCTGGCTATCCTGGTGGAAGGCAGGATCCACAACCGGAGTGATGCAAGATGCTCTGTCGGGACTCTCGTGGTGCCAGCAATCCTGCTGATCAGCTGGTAAACCTGTCAGCCAATTCATGGAATGAACAAACCCAAAGCTTACAGCTCTTAATAGGTCGGTCATTCTCACTCGCGTTGACTGGTGTCTCATCCGTATTGCGGATTGCGGCAGCATTCGCCTTGTCTGGGTTGCCAACTGTTCGTAAAGATGAGCCAGCCTGAAGAGAATGCGCAGCCTTGAACTCGTCTGAAGGCCTATGACTAGTAGCGACACGAGGTTGTGCAAAATCCGGTCCTTTTGACTTTCGAAACTGGTCAACCACGTTGTCAATGTAACCCTGGGTTTGTTTGCCTAATTCCGCGAGGTTGCCCTCAGTGAGGTGCTCAATGCCACGCTTCCTGCCGACCAGGAGTCTATGCTGGGTTGGCGTCAAAGGCCGTGTCCGGGTTGCTGTTTCGGTGACAGTGTCCTGCTCATCTTGGACCAAGTCTAGCGCAGCAGATCTATCAGTGTCAGATGTCTGAGGGAATGGTGGTGGTTTCAGAATGCTAGCTACAGACTCCTGTTGATCCAAGGACTGAGCAGCCTGGGCGCCAGTGACTGTGTTGAGGCCACTTTCGACGTGTTCGGCGGTGACAGAGATCCTAGGAGAGAAATCCTCGGACAAATCAGCGCCAGCATAGGACGGAACGGCTGGAAAGGACACAACTTACTCCACACTGTGGGCTGAGCTTCGACGGGCCATTGTTGACTGATGTTTTGGACCTTGCAGACTGTGATTTGCCTTGAATCACTTGCAAGAACTTGTCGAGAACGGCAGGATCGTCATACGGCGACAGCGTCGTCATGACTGAATCTGATTTTATTCTAGGCTTCGCGAGATGGATCGAGGAAGGCACTATGTAGACAGCAATGATGAAGGCGGAAAAGAAGATAGAAGTGATGGTAGAAGTGACGAGGTCAGTGGTAGCGATGAAGCGAGTTAAAGGACTCGGGCGCAGTCGCCCAGATTCACGTCCTCCCATTCACTCACTCCCAGTATCCACGAGACTTTTGGTGACGACAGTCACCATCGTCTCATATCAATCGTCAACCGTGGGTAGATCATCTAATAACAGCGAATGTCATGTCAGCGCAAAGTGTTGGGAGGAAAGTATGACCACTTAGTGGTAGAAAAGGCTGCGTAACAGCTTCAGCATTTACATTTCTCTTTTCCATCCCTTGAAGAGATCTCTTTCACAATTGATTTTCTGAAAACCGCGTCGCTCATGTCGACCGCAAGATGCTTTTTACAGGCTCGTAATATCCCCCCTTGAGATTTTTGTCTCGCTCCGGACGCCAACGCTATGCTGAAAGATGTCATGAAGGCACCGGTACGAATTCCCAGTTTCTTTCTCCTTCCATAATGTTTTCCTTTATGACCGCCAAACCTCGGCGGCCACAAAAGCCTGCATGTGAGGCTATCCTCGTCACTTGGTGGAATGAACCGTTGTTCGGAGGCATCCTCTCATCGGCGATCCAAACTGTCTCCTGCACCTCCTGCCACGGTTCTTCGTGTCGCCTTGGGTTGAATTTCGGTTTGTTGGTGACAAGGTCGATCAGCCAGTGGATTGGTGTATAGAGGCGCTCAAAACGTCGAGTAAAGCCCAACCACGAAAGGGTCCTCGAGTCGTAGGCTACTCGAACAAAAGGGTTCATGTAAATCCCTGAATTTCCAGGCTCAGGATTCTGGATGTCGGCTTGGATGAGGCAACATTCCGATGCATCCCAGTAGAGATCCTTCTCGGCGCGAAAGCGATAAGGTGTGGAGAGATTGCTGGGGCTTTGGTTGCCCGCAGTGATTAGCTCAGGCCTGCCTGGTCGTGCCTGGAAGAAGCGTGCATCAAATGCAACCATTCCACCCCAACAACTTCTCACTCGCACTGCGTCTTTGCCGTCAAGGACGTCCTGGTGGCTGGTCTCGTCACCACCAGCAGCAAACCACGGATAGAAGGGGAGACCCATGCTGTACCCTTCGGCATCCCGGGTTGCAAAAGTATCGTAAAACTTGAAAGGATTAATGAAATCGACCGCGCATGCTGCCCTGTAGTCCGTGACGCCGTCGGCCACAGTATGTGTGGAGAAGAGCAGCTGAGCCGCATCGATCGGATGAAAAACAACGTCATTTAGATAGAGGAGTTTGTCGAACGTAGTGTTGGAACCTTCCAGCGGCCTCAACGCCCGGTTTCGAACCTCAGCGAGATACTCGATGCGTTTCACACGTTCTTGTCCATGAATGCGGATGTGGGGGAGGTTATCGATGCTCAAGTGGTCCTGGAACACCAACGTGTGATCGCACGGCACCCGCTTCTCGAGTTCCTGCAACGCCTCTTGCGCTTCTGGACCCGAATCATTGACGTATATTGAGAGAAATGTGTTCTGTGGTCCCAGCAACTGTATCAGTTCTAGCACATTTTGCGCCCAGTCTCCGCCCAGGAGTTTCCCGCCTTTATCGTAGATGCTCGCGGCCAGAAAGACTTTTTGGTGTTGCAGATTTACCCGCCCTGGGGTCTCGGAGGCCAATGCTCTCTGTCTTAATGCTCTATAATGTGGTGGAAGGTGAGTGTAGCCGGGGAAAAAGACGCCTCCCACGATAATAATGGCGGCGATGGTGGTGAAAAATATGTAACAAAGTAAAGCGAATTTCCGAAGGAACGATCTAGGCGTACAGATGTATCGGCGAGGAAGTCGTTTTGATCTCGTTCGAGGTCGGCGAGGGAGATACTGCTTGCGCAGCCACGCAGGGGCGAGTGAGATGAACTGCGAGGAAACTCCTCGTTTAGCCACGCCGGACACAGTCTGGTCTGCTAGAAAATGCGACTGGAATTCATCGTGGTCCGAACCGTGCTCGAAATAAAGTAAAGGGTCGTCTGCTCCGTCTGATGTGCGTGTACTCGTCCTCGACAACTCGTACTCGTCCAACTGCAGGCAATGAGAGTTCATGATTTGCGGGGAGAAAAAGTGCGGAGAACGAAAAGAAGTTGGCGGAGTAGTGAAGGAGAGGAAGCCGCCATATGACCTCGAAGTCAGTCAAGACTTCGAAGGGAATATAGACGCTGGGGTCGAGGGGACAGCATCTACAATTATGTAGAATGTATGTAGCTGAAGGGAGGCTGTGGGATAGTCAGGGCGCAGGCAGACAGCAAACAGAAAATGTGGTAACGCGTTTTATGGGGTGAAAACGGTCAGAGGACCCAGCCAAGTGAGAAACGACAGCGGGTCAGG